ACAAAGAATTAGTAGAGACGAACTATACTTGAGCGCGACTTAAAGTTGAGTACGTTTCAATATTACGGCTTTAGTAGTATAAAAAAAATATCTCTTTATTTCACAGCTGAGGACATAATAAAGCACAGCCTTGTTGGGGTAGGGTACAATCTGTAGAAGTCTTAAGAAATACGAGCTCTATGACTTTATGGCTACCGTTTAATGCATATGAAATAACATATTTATTAAATAATAACTTTAATAACTGCAACGATTTAACCCATAAATCCCCAAGCGGTCACCGGTGACCGCTCTCCACTAATATTACATTACATTATAGACCTTATTTTCAATGTTTAGAGACTACTTTTGTATGACCAAATTTAGGGGATGGATTTCAACACAGAACATTTATATGTTCTGTGGATTTCAACGGGTAGATTATAATAACTATATTTAGGTTAAAAATTAAACTGTATTTTCTTTCCTGTATTCCTGTATCTATTTAATCTAAAATTAAATATTTTAGATATTCATCACCAATAGCGAAATTCTAGTATTTCATCTCTATGAATTAAGGCATTTTTATTACAACTGTGACAGTCGTTTTCGAGATAGTGCTGTACAATATTTAACGTCAAATATAAAGCAAGAATTTATAAAAAAAATTAAACTAGGTATTTCGACTAATACTAAATCTAGACTAATACTAGGTATTTCGAATAAACTAGGTATATCGACTGCACGGTTGGTACGGTGGCTGGGCAACCGACTGCCGTGCAACGTGTCGCGGGTTCGATTCCCGCACGGAACAACACTGTGTGATCCACAAATTGTTGTTTCGAGTCTGGGTGTTATTGTGTATGTGAACTTGTATGTTTGTAAACGCACCCACGACACAGGAGAAAATCCTAATGTGAGGCAACGTTTTTTTAAACAAACAAAATAAAAACAAAATATTTCATATTATAGTTGCTATCGTGAGATATTCAATGACGGTAACTTGACTAGTTTTTATAATTGGCTGCACTAAGGTCACCGCATCAGTTGTTGTTCATGCTCATGACTATGGGCTCCGAGTGTGGCTTGAAACTAATCTAGTTACCTCGAACAAGCAGCACCTATGACTAAATAACTACATAGGAACTATTTATAATTAAATATGCACCTCTGCCTATCTCTTATGAGAATGTAGAGTATGAGGTTTTATTTTGTATGTAGTAGTATTAGAAATAAGATGTCTTCCTATTAAGTGTAATGTATAGAGGTCCTTTCGCCTGCGATACAGCATTATCCTAGTGCAGGCATCTAACTTTATGAGGTCAATTTTACTTACTTGAAACATATTTTTGTATTTTGCATTTTTGAATTATGAATAAATTTTATTTATATTATTATTTAAAACATCTCAAAGTTATCAAAAATTCATCTTATTGCGAAAGAAATAAAGTAGGTAATTGTTTCCGTAATGGTTATAGCTTTCTAACAGTCTTGGAAATTCGAGTAGTTCGTATTGGTCCACGCCATGGGCCACGCAAACCTGATCTTCGGTATGGCACGTATGGTATAGATGGATAGTGTATGAACCTGAATTCAGCTGGTATTTCATGCTTCATTGATTCAATCTGTAAAATAATAATATAGTTACGCTTTTTAATTATCTATTGAATAAGAAAACGTGTTACTTAATTTACCTTTCCTTTTTTTGTGTACGATCGTTGGATTATTAAACTTAAATCCAATATTGGGAGTCTTTGATAAAAATATATAATTCTTTTTTTATATATATTTGGTGGGCCAACGTTTGACCTCTATTTTGCCTGGTGGTAAGCGATGATGCTGTCTACAATGGAAATCTTAAATGTTACTGTACTTATATATTCTTCAATTTCATTTTGCTCAAGGAAATAATTGGGTATTTTCCTGGGTCAAAAATAAATTATTTTGATTTTTTCAATCCAATTAAATATTCAAAAATACTTAATTAAAATTTCATTCATATATTTGAAGAGTATTTCTTTGATTTATTCTAGCATTTCTTTCAGAAATGAGTGTGCTATTTGGCTCGAAAATATTATGACTTCATAAGTTAGTTTTTGGTACAAAATTCATAGAACAAAATCGTTTTTGACGCTTCGATAAATTGAATTTGATTAGTTGTAAAATACCGTATTCTAAAGGTATTTTTTAAGGGGGGAAAATCATCGAATGACTGCCCCCGCCTGGGTGAGGCGGGAGGGAGTGTCAGACTCTTACTGACTAAAAACCACCCCGTTCCTTCTCCTGCACGTCGTGCCGGAGCCCCGGTTACCCATTAGGTTCTCTGCGACATTCTAAAGGTATAGGATATAACCTAAGTGTGCTGATTTTCTTCTTTCACCAGGGAGTGTGAGTTTAATTAGAGATTTAGATTTTAGGGGCTGGCGTTTGGCCGGTATCTCGCTTACAACAAGCTATAATACGGCCTACGATGAAGCATACTCATGAGCAACCTATTCACTCGGGTGTTGGAGACACGAGGTCTTCGGGAAACACGAACTCTGGCAAAGAATTGGGTACCTACTTGCCAACTAGTCAAATTCAATACTTTTGTCTGTCACATAAGTACGTTAGTTTTCTCTGAATTTTGTACGAGATTGTGTATCAAACACAGCAGATTGTGTAGCATTTTTAAGAAATACATAGGTATGTATTTCTTAAAGATTTGCTGGGAAAATACTAAAATTAAGTTGGTCATAAAATCAATAATTGAAAGTGTGATTATTTTTTTAATATTTTATTGTATTGAACAGTCAAAAGTACCCAATTCCATTCCTTAGCGGTTCTAATAACAAAACCTGAGGCGAAACCTTTCATACGAGTGGCTGTCCACCATGACGCGGTGGCGTTTTGCCGATTATCTTGTGGTACGATGATGGAAAACCAAAAAGGCTAGGATTTTACTTATCCCGTTAGCACTAGTGAAGCCATAATTCCAACTATTCCAAGACCAAAGAATCGTGATTACCTAAAAATTACAACAAAGAAAATGTATTTTACCTGATCCACGCAACCAAATAGAAATAAACAAATTAAGAAATGCACCCATAGCATTGTGAAACTGAATTTTAAGAGAAATATTTTCCTCTGTGGTTACGACATCTCAACGATCGAACGGCAATCGTTTATTGTAAAATCCATAAAATTTTGAATGTAATTGGCTGTAACTGTATTGAATAGTTTGTAGATGTTATGTGAAATGCTTAAGAGCTGTGGATTTTGTGATCTATAGGTATAAATAAAAATGAACTGTTGCCCTGTAGGTACTTTGTCCGCGTAGAATATGAATTTTTGAAAATAACTTTTTTCACGATTCAATTTTCCAAAATGAAAGTAGCCTAGCCTATGTTACTGCTTAGTATATCAGTTATCAGCCAATAAAAGTCTTGCAAAATCGGTCCAGCCATTACAGAGATTAGCCCGTACAAACAGACAGACAGACAAAAAATTGTAAAAAATGATATTTTAGTATGTGTATCGTATAAATATTCATATGCAGACTCGAGTAGCCAGTAGCAGCGCGACAGACGCCGCCGCGTCGCGAGTCGCGGAATGCTGCTCATGAATATGAGACACTAGCATGGTTTGAAACTAGTTGTGTTCCTCGTCAAAATATTAAGCGAGTAAGCCGAAAAACATAAGTATTAATGAACATTTATCCATCAGTACCTGTCGCGGAGAACCTAACGGTCCCGGAGAACCTAACGGGTAACCGGGGCTCCGGCTCGACGTGCAGGAGAAGGAACGGGGTGGTTTTTAGTCAGTAAGAGTCTGACACTCCCTCCCGCCTCACCCATGTGGGACTGCTCCCACATGGGTGAGGCGGGAGGGAGTGTTTAGGATTCGATGATTTTCCCCCCTTAAAAAAATACATCAGTACTTACTCATATAATAATACATCTGTATATCTATGTCTGTTTTATCTTATGTTTTTTAGCGCGTGAAATAATGTTTTCTCTTTCTCCCTTTTTTCTTTCTATATTCCACGCTACCATCAACCACACAGCTTGCATCTTGCATGACAGCACACGATGTATTCAAACATTTTTTCTTTTAAGTCAGTTTGTCGATATTTTTAATTCTTTTTAACTCTTGTAACAGACCATGAAACTATATTTTGATAAGAGCCCCTTTTAGATTAGAAACGTATGTGCCATGTATATCTTTGTACTACTGTGTGCTACTTCTTTTTTTACAGTAAGTATAAAGTTTTATTTTACTTTAATAGGCTTCATGCACATACTAGGGTACAAGGTGGGCTTAATGCCATGGGCATTCTCCTCCAGCCAGACCTTTGGGTGATGCAGAGAAAAAAACAATGGTCGATGCAAGAAGCAAGCGTATTCGAGACCTATGACCGAGAGAAATACATATAAACAAATCCCTATAAGTATATATTTACACATAACAATAAACTTTATGTCCGAGTGGTCCGAACTGACTGATTGATTGGTTGTTTGACTGACTAACTGATGATTCATCTTCGCCGAGCGCAGCGAGGTAGGTACCTACCTAATATTATATATATAATTATATAACACGACCTTTTTATTTTAACATTTAAAAAAATAGAGGAACTAGGTAGGTGCCTACTATGTTCAAATGATGCTTTTTCTGACATTGTTGTCTTATAAAATTGGAAGCGAAATTATAGGTGATTTTACCACTAGAACAGAAAGGCATTTAATAAACTGGATGAAAACTGACATCTATTCTATAGTCTCGTCTCTTAGGAACCATATCTCAAAAACAGCATATTTTCTATTGTTTGAAAACAGTAGTCAGTTACGTGACACAAACTACAGGCAGACATTCCAAATCTTGACTAAAATCTGATAAATAATTCAAGAGAAATTAAACCTAATGCTAAAGAATAATAAGTGCGAGAATTGCGAACAGACGTTGTATTTGACTTCTGTAGAAATTTTAAAGCATAAAAAAGGTTGCAAGGCGAAATAAATAATTATTTATTTTTAGATCAGCAATCAACAGAAATTCACCGCAATAAATGGATCTCACGACGTGGACATCTTGGGTGCATTACAACAGATGTCCAAAGACACTGGCATAGTCTTACTGACACGAAGCGATCCATTCATATCTAACGCATCAATACTTCTGACAGATGACGAGAGTGGTTACGAACAGCTAAAAGCAGACGCCGATGATGATTTCGCAGAAGTAGAAGAGAATACGGATCCAATGGATAAAGATCCAAAAATAAAGAATATACTTAGGTGGCGGCCTACAAGAAAGCCCTATAAAGGAAATTATCACGAAAAAGTAGAGGCTCAGGTTGCACTCGAGAAAGAACAAAGAAATACGCTCCGAGCTCGGCAACTCAATGAAGAAAGAATAGCTTACGTGATGGACCTTCTAAAAGACAATTTTTGGATGGCTGTATATATGTATGGGGAAGTACGAAGAATTCTCACGAAACGCGTTGTAGTCGATGATATAAGACAAATGATTATGTTTTTAGAACAAGAAGGGAATGAGGAAATGAAAGAGAAAGTACTAAAATGTTATAGAAAGGAGAGGTACGTTTTTCAAGATAACAGCTGGGACAAGAAAGCTAACAATTTGCTTGTTCAAGTTCTTAAGGATCCGCTTAATGATAACGTTGTTGCGTAGGTAAAATATATCTTTAAAGTAATACAAATGAATGTGATTTAATTTCTTTTATTCCCTTGGTATGTAGGGACCTTTTTTGGTCACCAAATGGAGCAAATATTAGTTGACTAATAGCTTGTTTTGTCCAATCACTACTTCTGTCAAATATTCAACGTCTAACGGTGTCACACTAGTCTAGAAGCGCAACTTGGTGGTCAAAAATATAGTAGGTACCCCTATTACATCGCAACTACCTACATGAAATATTTGATATTTTGCTTTGTCAAACGATAGACCTAGGTACCTACTGTATTATATGCATGAAGATAGTTCTGTTATCTTTGCTACTTTAACATTTAAATGTTATAAAAAAGGTGTATCGGTAGGTACCTAGTTACCTACTCCTACAGCTACAGGTATAGTAGGTTCCCCTACTACAGGTACCTAGAGGTACATTATTTTTACTAGATAAGTAGGTATACCTATCTAAAGACCTGGGTGATTAACCGCTAGTGCGTAGAGTTAACAGATTTACAGGTCTTCAGTTTTTAGCTACTAACTCTTTTGCTGGTAAGCGATGACGTGACAAATGAAGCTTGTAATTTTTAAAATTTATTATCTATGGAGTTCATTTCAATGACAAAACTCTATCTCGAGATCTAGCCGTTCTTGTGTATAGGTAGTGTCACAATTTTGTCGTTATGACACCGGCAGCTGTAGCCAAATGCCATTTAGCTCTTGTCTACATGTAGAATAGAAAACCAAATTATATAGAATTGACGTACCTAAATTTTGACACTTATCAGTGTCATCCCCATACATTTAGTTGTCTACTCTCTCTGTAGACAAGCGCTAAAGCCTATAATATAATTTGGTGTTTTAGTCTACAAGCGCTAAATGGCATTTGGCTACAGCTGCAGTATTTAGCAATAATTTTTATTTTAAATGTAATTCGATTTAAGGAATGTAATTTTTATTTTTTTGTACTACTTGTGTTATTAGTTTTAAGCTTTAATTCACACACAATGTAAATTTTTGAAGAAATAAATAAAAAAACCATACCTACGCTTTTTAAGACTTAAAAAAGGAGGTTCACAGTTTCATCTGTAGGAGTGTTTGTGTTCGACTATCGCGATTGGCATAATCGATTTTGATATGGCTTCAGAAAAGTATTTGTTACACTTAGGAAAAGGTTTTAGTGTATTAATAAACCGATTTCGTAACCAAAAAACTAAGGGGCTTAATTCGGATTTTTTAAACTTTTTTTATTTTTCGCATTATTTTGTCCACCTATGCAAACAAATTCATTCCAAACTTATACTAGAATATAATATTATTTCCTCAGTATTATAATCAATTGTACAGAAAGTCGTTACAAAACGTATTTAATTAAGTTTACCCATGCATGAATAACATTTAATACTCGTTCTCTGATTTGATGATGCTGCCATTGTTAGTTAGAATTTGTGTAAGTTTCTCTTTTATTTTGATTTACTAAGCAAATCTGTCCTCTTTGGGTATCTATTCAGCTTTTAAAATAATAACACGCGTCTTTAACACTACCTAAATACCTACCTACTGTACAGATTTGGTTTTACATTAACTTAGGTAGGTATATTTTTTAATTTTATATTATTTTTAGCTTTCATCAATCACAATAGTTGCTCATTTCGTGGTTGATGCAAGAGATTTACAAGAATTTGTAGACGCAATAATCAATACGAATGGGGGACATAGCTACACAAATTCAAGTCAACAACAAACAAACAATACTCTTGCTATCGTGATACCTAATTCAGGTTACGATTTGAAAACAAATGAAAATAGAAATAAAGACGATACACGACTTTATTCTAACTACACAGCTACAGACGATTATTTAAAGTTACAAAATGAAAGTGGAAGTTTAAAATCCCATAATTATCGAAGAATGATTGCTGCATCCGTTGAAATTACAACACCTGGAAGCTCAACCGATCACAGCAGCAAAAAACGGGTAAGAAAGGTAAGGACATATGCACCTAAACCACAGGATAACTCTAACCACGAAAGGAGGATAAAAGAAATTAAAGAACATATGGAACACCATTTCACTTCTACTCTATATTTGTATAACGAAGCAAAAAGAATCGAGAGAACCAATGTCGTGATGGATGAATTAAGGTTGATGGCTGAAGATGCTGACGATCCAAAATATGAGTTGCTAAGGGAAAAAGTTTTGGAGTGCGGCCGTCAACCCAAAGTCAAGATACCCAAGAATATTTGGAAGACACCAAATAATGTCATAATCAATATCCAGAAGGACCCGCTAAATGACAATGTTCCCAGTTAAATATTATGTTTTATTAAGTAAGCATTTTGCATGTGAACTTTTCGATTAAAGTCTTTGATTTCTATTCTAGTAATTAGGTATGATGTTTTTTTTTCTGTATCTGCCATGACGTGGATTATATTCGCATATATCTTATCAGATATTGAGCTGTAAATCGAAAAAATCACGTCAGTCACAGGCTGCCTTTTTTCATTATAGATGAACCGACGTTTGGCCACTATCTCGCCTGGTGGTAAACGATGATACGGTTTACGATGGAGCACGTCGGCCCATAAGCAACCTATTTACTCGGGCCTTGAAAACACCCAGGATATACAAATTCTGGCAAAAAATTCCTTAGCAGCACGCGTAAGGAAGCTTGATGCGAAGCGCTTCATGCATGTGAGTAGGACATCTACCATGAATTGCATTGGATCATTAATCTTAACCTATTTGGTTATTGATAACCAGAAGTGTAACCAAGTTGACACCCAGCTAGGCTATACTGCAAATTTCAATTCGAAATATCAAAGTGCACTCCATCACGGTCAGCCATTTCATTGGTTGTGAGGTGGATTTGAGAATAATCTCGACCAATGACGGGCGAGTATGCGATCGGGTTCACTTCCAAAGTTCGAAATGACAGTTACAGAATTGCCTATCAGGTCAAAACCTTCCAGCAGAGGTACCAACAACTTGTTGAATGTGCGCCTTACTACCATGATGGTGTCCTAGTAAAAAAGAAGTCTTAGTAAACTTTATTTTTTTTATAAAATTCGTTTACAATTGTTCCACATCCTCTTCCATATTGGGGTAATGAAGGAAATGAATTCAATGAAGTTTTTTATTAATAATATAAAGCAGTCGCGGTGACATTTTCTTCATTCGAGACACCACCTTGTGAAATTCCGTTCCTGGTTTTATTTTCGCTTTTATTGATCCCTGTAGAAATAAAATGAAATGGTTTGTTAATGTGGCACTCCTTTGAACACTTCCTTGGTCCAGTCATTATAACTGGGTTGTCTCAGCTCGTTTTACATTTATCTACTGTCAGTACTAGCACCAAGTCTAGAGCTATGCCTAGTGTATGCATAAATCTTTAACTAAACATGTACTACAATTCAGCTCAATCAGTTGAAGATTTTAAAATGGAGTTGCCAGATTCCACTTCTCAAACATACACACATACATACTTTTTTTTAAGGGGGTATAATTATTAAATGACTTCTCCCACCAGGGTGAGGCGGCAGGGAGTGTCAGACTCTTACTGACTTAAAACCACCCCGTTCCTACTCCTTCGAACCGGAGCCCTGGCAACCTGCTAAGTCCTCCGCGACGCCAGTTAAATAAATACTTGTAATAAGAGAAATATCAGAGTCAAATAATCTGCTGAATTTCTCTATATAACCCAGTTATTGGTCCATTGGTCAAAGAGCGTTGCTACCCGGTCTTTGCCTTCGTCGGCCTGTATCGTCCAGTCAGTTATTCAGCACTAAGATACCAGTAGGAAGACTAAACATACAAATGTAGCTATTGTACTGTGCCGTCATCACCTAGTACCTACTTAAAACTAAAAAAGTGTGGGGCTTTTTGTAATGGCTATGAGTCCTGCGGCAATAGCAACCTTCTAAGGACTAAAGACAAGCAAGACATTGGGTGATTTTTGGGAAAGTCTTTGGGCATTAATCTGTCAAACACCAAGCGGTCACCGGTGACCGCGACCTATTGTTCTTTAATTGTGTCTATAAAACCGGTACTCGACGAGTTAAGAAGCTGCAGCATTCATAGCCATCTACATTATTATTATTTTTTAAATCTTACCAATACTTTCTTCTCAGGAGATGACCGCAAAGGAGTTTTGATATCAACTTCTTCTTTCCAAACAGAATTCCAGTAATCCTTTAAAAGTGTAATTCAATGATCATTACTATCATGTTTATCATTTCATATACCTAGACACAGTCAGCCAAGCTATCTAGTACCTATGTAAGTTAGACAACAAAGATTGACTCGGTACAGAGATAGTAGCTATTATATTATTAGAGATAGTAGAATTATATTATTGTTTCGAATATAAAAACCATGTTTTAAGAAATTCAGAAATTAATTTTAATACCAAAAGGAGACAGATTTCATCAAACATATATGTAGCCCAAGAGTTTAATTTTTTTTACCAATATTCCTATTAAAACAACTGAACAATTAAAATCATCAGTAAACTCTCTGTAACTTTGTTTAAGAAGAATATAGAATTATTTCAACACGAGTTTAGTTTTCGATATACGAATCCTCTAGAAATTATAAAAGTTTTTAATGAAATCAAGACCAAATAAACTGAAGATCTTTGGTCGTCTTATGAAATCTTATTTGAAAGAAAGATAGTTAAAGGTCCATGTGAACGGCATTAACTCACATGGATCTGGGATGAATATGGGCGTTCCTCAAGGTTCAATATTGGGTCCCTTTATCTTTTTAATGTATATAAATGATTTGCCATTTATATTCAAGAATGAACCAAGAATAGTGCTTTTTGCAGACGATTATTAATTTTTAAAATAGATCGACGTGCAAATAATCTTGACGACGTAAATGGCTGTATTCGTCGAGTGCATAATTGGTTCACCATTAATAATCTAGCGTTTAGTGAGAAAAAAACCAAATGTATTAAATTTAGTTTACCAAACGTGCGTAGTAATGCCTGTGATGTTATTTTGAACGGGCAAAAGTTAGAATTTGTCGACGAGACAGTATTTTTAGGCATTACGTTAGACAATAGGCTACAATGGGGTCCGCATATAAAGGTGCTTTCGGGGAGATTGAGCTCACCTGCTTTTGCAGTTAGACAGATTAGACCACAGACATAGATACAGCGTGGATACAGCGAAGCTTGTTTGGCTATTTTAGTTGTTTCCACGGTATTATGTCGTACGGTATTTTGTAGTGGGATCGAGCTTCAGAAATAGAATCAATATTTATTCTGCAAAAGCGGGCTATCCGAGCAATATATACCATTGCGAATCGCAGAGGGAATTGTTTAAAACGATAAATATTTTAACGGTGCCCTGTCTACGGATAAATAGGCAATTGTTTGAAAAAGAGATAGACACATAGACAGCGACATACACAATTTTAATACTAGAGACATAAATAAGTTAGCTATACCGCAATTCAGCCGTCCAAGGTACAGAAATCCTTCACGGGGTTATGTATTAAATGCTATAATAAAATACCAAGTGGCATAGTTACTAGAATGAAAAACATATATTAAGTGCAAATTATGTAATCAAGCTTACTACAAACTGACAGATTATCTTGAAGATAAGAATGCTTAGCAGCATGTTGGTTCGGCTCTACAGGGCAATACCCCAATGTAGTCGGGAGTTAGATACTCAGATTACAATAGTAGGTAATTTATTACTTTTATTCTAATGTAGGTAGACAATCTAGTTTTCTTATGGCATCGAGCATTTCTTTCTTTATTGAAACAAAGAGTTTTCTTTTTTTGTATAGAAGCGCTATTTTTATGGATTGTCTGTATGCTTAAGTGAGCACCATGTTAGACTATTTACTTATACGATGTTTTTTCTTTTGTTTTGTTTTATTATTTTAGTAAGTTTTGTGCGTTGTCAAGCGTGTCTTTGCATTGTTCTCACATATACGTATAGTATTGGAATATGTAACCACGGAATATAGTATATTCCGTGTATGTAACAGGGACATTGTAGAACATACTTTTTTTAAACTGTCAAACACCGAGCGGTCACCGGTGACCGCAACCTATTATTCTTTAATTGTGTTTACTCAAAGAGTTAAAAGAGTAACGAATGGAGTTTCTTGCTCGTTCTTTTCTATTCCAATCTACGTTTTGGAATGAGCACCTAGCTTCACCTAGCTTCACTGACCGACTGACTGGCAGACTATTATTTATTTTGTATTTGTTGAGATTCAAGACACCGCGCTTGTATAAATTACTAAAAAAATTATATGTAATTGAAATAAATGCATTGACTTTGACTTCATGTCTTTTGTAATGATTACTGTCTCTGCAATGCGATTCTGTGACACCAATTCGATATCAAACCATTTTAAAGTAAGTACCTAACTTTTGTATTGTTGTGTTGTATTAGATAGGGAGGCACTTACCCCTGATCTTAATATTTTCTTCTGATCTATATCTCCTAAGTCATTTTCTTTGTCCGGTCCCAACAATGCAGATTCCTTTGCCACCACCAACACCAGTTCAGGCGGCGCCTATCAAATATTAAGTAGGTAGGTATTATAAATTGACATAATTTAAAGAATATTAAGATCTTATGTAGACACGGCCACACATCAATCTATACAAAACCAGTTTATTCTGGTGTCGCGTCGAATCATATTTCCGCACATTTAACGTTCAGTTTATACTGGTTATGTAAAGCTCGTTGTGTAGCCGTGTGTACGTAGGTACACTTAGCCCGCAAATAAACTGTGAGCTCAATTCGAAAGTTTGAGCAGACAGTTACAGAAGAGCGGTCTAACTTTAAATTATATGAATAAGGAAAGGCTAGGAAAAATTGAAAATTAATGTAAAAAATATTATGTTACCTTCTCTGGTATAAGATCACCATTGTGTTCAGCGGCCGTCTCTTTGTATACCTAATGGATAAACACATTGCACTTAGTATCGAATATAATAAGAACTTAAAGTGAATTGTGTAACTCCCGATTTCAAATATCGAAGTGCACTCGATCGCGGTCAGCCATTTCATTGGTTGTTAGGTGGATTTGAGAATAATCTCGACCAATGACGGGTGAGAATGCGATTGGGTTCACTTCAAAAGTTTAAGTTGACAGTTACAGAATAGTCTATCAGGTCAAAACCCTCCAGAGGTTCCTACAATTTGTTGAATGTGCGCCTTACTACTGTGGCGACGCGTGCCACATGTCAACGGATGACGTCACAAGAATCCTACATCGCACATGCAAAGTTTACAAGCGAATAAACACGGATAGAAAATCCCAACGAACAACTGTTGGGCAGAAAGCCCGCCAGGCACGATCACCTCGCCTGGTCGGAGGATCCTCCTTTTCCGATCTTAGGGAACTTTACTCTCTGTTCCCTAAAGTGGTGACGCCGACGTGATTGGAAGCAACCTTCACTTCACGGAGCAGATTAGCACCGTCATCCGTATCGCCATCCCTCTCATTCATCATTTCTCCGCTGAGCGGTAGTCAAGTCGCAGCCAACCAGCATCCTCGGCCTCATCAGGGACCACCATCGCCTGCAACGAAGTTGTGCAGCCTGGTTCTTCCCTACGGCCTCACCAGCGTCTAGGCACAGCACTTCTGCACACGGTCTGAAGGACACCTCCTCCCGTCAACGCAGATGCCGGCCACTACGCACCTACCCTCGCAGCATCTCTTCCCCGACTCACCGTGGAACACTGCGAACTCATCTCTCCGACTCACTGGAGTTTCACCCTGCACCGCTCACCCGACTCACTGGGCACTCAGCGGCACGGTTCCGACCCACTGGAACTAGGGACGTTCTACACTGGCTCTGGCACCGCTCATCTCAAGCATCGACAGCAGTCTCAGCGGAATCGACCTCCGGTCTTGGGAGGGAGTGATGTGGCGACGCGTGCCACATGTCAACGGATGACGTCACAAGAATCCAACATCGCACATGCAAAGTTTACAAGCGAATAAACACGGATAGAAAATCCCAACGAACAACTGTTGGGCAGAAAGCCCGCCAGGCACGATCACCTCGCCTGGTCGGAGGATCCTCCTTTTCCGATCTTAGGGAACTTTACTCTCTGTTCCCTAAACTACCATGATGGTGTCCTAGTAAAAAGGAGTCTTAGTAAACTTAATTTTTTTTATAAAATATGTTAACAATTTGTTCCACATCCTCTTCCATATTGAGGCTATAAAGGAAATGAATTCAATGAAGTTTTTTATTAATAATATAAAGCAGTCGCGGTGACATTTTCTTCATTCGAGACACCACCTTGTGAAATTCCATTCCTGGTTTTATTTTCGCTTTTATTGACCCTAGCTGTAGCAATAAAATTAAACGGTTTGTTAATTTGGCACTTCTTTAAGTTACCGCCGTTGGTCAAGTCATTATAAAATGAGTAGTTTTAGATTTTTCTACTGTCAGTACCTACTATCATGGACTCTGGAGCTATGATAGTGACAAACGTAGCTATTGTACCATAGAAATATTAAAAAAGTATATCTATGTGTTACACTATATATTTAAAACTAAAAAAAGTGTGGGCCTTTTTTTGATGGCTATGAGTCCTGCGGCAGAAGCAACCGTCTAAGGCCCAAACACTTTTTTTAGGTGATAAGTCATTGGATGAGTCCCGCCTCAAAAAGTCTTTGCGCATTAATTAGGCTTTTTTTTAAGGGGGGAAAATCATCGAATGACTGCTCCCACCTAGGTTAGGCGGGAGGGAGTGTCAGACTCTTACTGACTAAAAACCACCCTGTTCCTTCTCCTGCACGTCGAGCCGGTACCCCGGTAACCCGTTAGGTTCTCCGCGACTCCGCGTGCGGAACGCGACGCGCCGTACGCTCGGGTCTGTTTCTGGTCGGACGGGGAGCCACCCATGCTCGCCGTCCGCAGGCCCGCTGTTACGGTGGCCGGAGATCGTGCATTAATTAGGCTGCTGCTACTGCAGCATTCATAGCCATCTACTTTATTAATTTTAAAAAATCTTACCAATACTTTCTTCTCAGGAGCTGACCGCAAAGGAGTTTTGACTTCTTCTTTCCAAACAGAATTCCAATAATCCTTCAAAAATGTAATTCAATGATCATTACTATCATGGTTATCATTTCATATACCTAGACACAGTTAGTCAAGCTGTCTAGTACCAATGCAAGTCAGACAACAAAGATTGACACGGTACAGAGATAGTAGCTATTGTCACACAGAATTAATTAAGGTTTTAAATATGTAAGCCATGTCTATTATAATAATTACTGTCTCTGCAATGTGATTCTGTGACACCAATTCGATATCGAACCATTTTAACCTTTTCGCCGCCAACAACTTCTATAGAAGTTCAGGATTTTCGTGCCGTCCACGCCACTACTTCTATAGAAGTTCATTGTATCTACCTACTATAAAAAATACATTTACGATACATAAAACATTTGTTTCTTTGTAATTTTGTAATATGGACACGACGAACTATTTTTTCTCATGCAAAACAGACTATTTTCTGTTTTAAAAAGGTAAAACATAAAAGGTTTCAAATAATTTTATATCCCGCACGCCAACGACTTCATATCAAGTAGGCCAGTGATGTGACGCGTAAGGAGCATTCATTAGAATCTTTATTTACTATAATATTTGTTTTCTTTTCCATCCAATAGTTTTTTGAATTCTATGAATAAAAAGAAATTCCGGTCAGTAAATAACGTATTACAATGCGTTTCAAAATTAATGTACATCTACCTATCAAATCATTTCATTAAAATTAATTATTATGTACTGAGGGTTTTCGATATTGCTAGACCCATCTCTACGTAATGGCAAGATGTCGAGTGACACTAGCGCCGTCAACTTCAATAGAAGTAAACCTGTGACGTCGTAAGCGCTTAGGCGTCAAGGTCATTGTGTCATAGTTCCGGGCGACGCGTGCACGCACATTTTTCTTTCCCAGTGCAGTGCAAAATGACCGAATATGATTCGGATGAGTTGTTGCGGCTGTTACAAGGTGTGGAACCTGATTCCGACTTTCATTTCCAAAACTACACATATGTTGCCACTTTTAATCACTACAAACAATGTTCCTGATCGTGACCTGACGTTAGATTTTAAATGTAAACTAAAACCAAAAGCAAACCAAACTCGATAGAAAGAAAGAAAAGCATAGACAACTATTCCTTACGAAATGTATCGTGCTTTGAACGCCAATGACTTGATATGAAGTAAACAGACTACGTTATGAAATGAATAGTGAAGTGGCTAATGTTACGAATTATTATTATTATCTCTAGCAACTCTATGCATGTATCTTCATCTCTGATAACGGATACCCATTTTTCTTAGTATAAATGTTCATAAAATAAAACAAATTACCATTATAACTTAACAGTTTGTATTTTTAATTGTAAATTTGAGTACCAATTTAAATTTACACATATTTTTTTTCATTATCGACATGATGTTACCGCCATCCCTACTTTCGTACTATACATTTATTATACATTTATACGTTGGCGTACGGCGACACATCGTGTTTAGTATAGCTGGGCGGCGAAAAGGTAGTAAGTATTGTTGTGTTGTATTAGATATGTAGGCACTTACCCCTGATCTTAATATTTTCTTCTGATCGATATCTCCTAAGTCATTTTCTTTGTCCGGTCCCAACAATGCAGATTCCTTTGCCACCACCAACACCAGTTCAGGAGGCGCCTATCAAATATTAAGTAGTAATAATAAATTGACATTATTTACCATAATAATATCTACCTCATACCCTACGTTAGTAAAAATAATTCACGGAGTCCCCATTACTACTATTTAAGTAATCTACCTTAATTTACAAAATGGCGTCGGCGAATTTTTCTTTTACCCGATTTCGGTAACAATGGCCAATCTCATTCGGGACGCATTCTACTAATTAAGAATATTAAGATCTTATGTACACTTAGCCCGCAATAAATGATTTGGCTTTGACATTGAGACTCTTTTTTTAAATGTCCCACCTTTAAAAAACAAAAAAATCATCGAATTACTTCTCCCGCCTGGGTGAGGCGGGAGGGAGTGTCAGACTCAAAGTGCAGGAGTAGGAACGGGGTGGTTTTCAGTCAGTAAGAGTCTGACACTCCCTCCCGCCTCAACCAAACCAACCAAAGCCATTCGATGATTTTCCCCCTTAAAAAATGCTATACTGTACGAAATCAATTCGAACTCTTGAAGTGAGTTCGATCGCGGTGCACCATGACCAATAACGGGCGAGAATGCGATCGAGCTGACTTCAAAAGTTCGAATGGACAGTTTTTCTTGCGGCATAAGCCGGTAAACGAGCCGACGGATCACCTGATGGTAAGCAATCGGCGTCGCCCATGGACACCTGGAACACCAAGGCGTTACAAGTGCGTTACCGGACTTTTGGGGATTAGGAGTTTGATGATCGTTGGGGTTTCAGGGTTTTGGGGCCCTCCGGTAACCGCACTCACACGACGAAACAAAACGCAAGCGTTGCTTCACGTCGGTTTTCTGTGAGGCCGTGGTATCACTCCAGCTGAGCCGGCCCATTCGTGCCGAAACATGGCTCGTCCACACTTGTTACCAGAATAGCCGTCTAACTTTAAATCAGATGGATAAGTATAGGCTAGGGAAAATCGAAAAATAAAATGAAAAAGACATAATTATTTGTTACCTTTTCTGGTATAAGATCACCATTGTGTTCAGCGGCCGTCTCTTTGTTTACCTAACAGATAAACATTGCATTAGGTGTCGAAAATAATAAAAAGCTAGGCTATTGTGTAACTCTCGATCCAAAAAATCGAAGTGATCTCGTTGGATGCGATCGAACTCTCTTCGAAAGTTCGAATTGATAGTTACAGAATACCTTAGCTGAGCTGAGCGACTGCATGATTGGCGCGGTGTCCGGCCTACCGGCTGCCACGCCGGTAGAGTACTTAATTTCAATCCTAACTAGATGATAGCTCAGAATCAAATGATATTTAGGTATGTTTTTATAATAACTACCTTGTAACTATAAATCGCGGATTACTCACGTGAATATACTTAGAAATAGTTTTGCCACAATCGCGCACGCCGCTCATGTGGAACGGCGGCCCTTAAGTGGCTCGAAACTAGTAGAGATTTCTCAGTATATTCACTTCAGTAACCCGCCATTTTTAGTTAATTATTAAGGATATTACGTGGAGAATTAGACATTAATCTTAATACTTCTTTATCTATCTTAGAATGGCCAACCAATTATTATTTTCAGTAGGTACCTCTTCAGTGCCTAGGTAGGTACTTTAAAACCTATCTACTGACTTCATTTTGTGGAATATTAATGGTAATGAGGAGGATAAACGAGTAGATCATGCGAGGCCTTAGTCTGATATTATAATTATTATACATACCTACATAGGTGTAAGCAGAGGTGCAAATAACGCCACTTCAATGTAACACCCACTTTGCACTATTTATGTTCTAAATCCCATGTAATAGAGGGTCAACCTATTGTCATATACTTACCGAGCACAATTCCGTGCTACTACTGATTTTTTTTTAAACCCACAAAGTCCCTAGCACGACTGCTGAGTCAACGACGTTTGGCTGGACAGTAGCGACTTGCACTTGCGCACGCGACCACTCGGCCAATGAGGCACAATTATTATTAATCTAGTTGCGAAATTGTACAACATTCGCACCCTTTGTGTACCGTCATTATAGACACAATTAAAGAACAGTAGGTTGCGGTCACCGGTGTCCTCGTGGTGTTTGACAGTTTAATATGTATTATAAATCTATGAGTGTGTGTTTTGTTCTGTGGTTGTTTGTTCTGTTTGTTTGGCCGTATTTGACGGCAAAACAGAGCGACGACTTGGCGTGTTTTTTTAAATAAAGATAGTTGAGAGGATGGAGAGTGACATAGGCTATAAAATATTATACTACGATCAATATGAGCCAAACAGCAGGTGAAACGCTCGGGAGTAGCTAGTTGATAATATAATTAAAGAGAGACAGAGACATATATAGACAGAGACCGCGTTCGCTCTGATTGGTTGGTTTATTGAAGCTTATCAGAGGGCTTAGTTCAAGTTTCTTTTACGTTAAAAGTAATCGAAACTAGGCCGCGTTGTATTCTGATTGGTCGGTTCATTTTGTTTGTTTGGTCTTGACAAATAACTCTCTGATCAAGCGCAATATCGAGTAGTTGCAAGTGCGTTTTATGATAAGTCGGTGAAGGTGCTTTATATTAAGAAAAACTTACGTCACTATATTTGTACTGTGGTACGAATCTTCGTCCCAAATCCATATAGATCGGAGATTGAAATATGTGCTGATTATGTCCAAGAAGATCAGCTGTGTCACCAAATTTCATTTCGTTCACGAACCTTTTAAAAGTTTCCTAAAGAAAATAAATATATACCTATTTGAATACATACATAACCTCACACCTGTCACGCATTGGTACAGGCAGAGACTATGGAACGCCAATTACAAGATACTTGCAGCTTGGTAAGAAAGAGTTTGACCCGGTGACAGCGTTTTTGTTATCTTGTTATTCATGCAACATCAGCCTTGCTTGAGCTAATGTTTTTATAATAACTATCGTGAGACATACTGAATTAACTAACTCACGTGAATATACTGATAAAAGCTTGACTGACTGACTACGCACGCTGCTCATGAGGAAGAAGCCCTCTGTAGTTCGAAATTAGTAGAGCTTTTCTTAGTGTATTCACGAGAGTAACCCACGATTTTTAGTTTATCAGACTTGAGCAGTTGATTACAATTTTTATTAAATAAAAGGAACATTTTATTCGTTCCTTTTATTTAAATAAAACTTGTTTTATACCATCACTTGTAGGCGTTTTTCGGAAGTATTCCATTTAGGTACATTCTGTACATATTTGCTCATTTGCCAGATTAATTAGAATATTAACTACATCAAAAAAATCATAAGTGTAGTCTCAGAATCAATCAATACGCACCCGCATCGTTATGTTATTTGTATCATTTGTTGGATTTCTTTTGTTATCATCAGCGTCATCATAACCGTCATTTTCTTCGTCATTGTCACTGTCATCAACATTTTTATCCTCTTCATTATCCTGGACATCATCTTCTTCCATATAATCGGGATTGATACCATCATTTCCAGAGTCATCATCATCACTTTGGTTACCTTTATTAGGAATTTCTAATCTCATACCATCGAAATCCTTTGTGTATATGATTACTCCCTTTGCTATCTGATGATTCATCTTATTTGCATCTTCATCGCTATTTCCCGATTCATCTGACTTACTTGCGCGTCTTGAGACGCCCGATAAAGAATACTAGAAAGGAAATGTTTGTAGTTCGAACATTGTAATAACGTTTGGCTTCGTTTCCGTCTACCGTTAAATAAAGGCAAAAGTGACTATTGTCTTTCACGTGGACATTTTTGCATCCGGAGATACCTAGGTATGAGGTTGGACAACTCCCCAGCCCACGATGATAGGGTAGATGACTAATGTTTATTTTAATGTCCGTCTGGTAGATTATTTAAAACATTAGACATGTATTTTTTATTCTCGTAGAGTACAAATACTTTCGACGATATTGATTTGAAATATTGCGTGACTTTATTTCTAGGGACGTTTTATACTTTGAAAAGACGTTTTAGTCTATAACCAAACTTTGATTTGTTTTATCCTAATATTGTGTTCTTATTTATGACAAAATAAAAACACGTGTCTAATAGTTGTTTATTTCCTAACTGACGGACTAATTAGATGTTAAATATTCACACCCCCATGATCCCCATTGTAAGTAGGTATTGGCATGGGAACCAAGTAACATAAAATATGTAAATATCAGGACAAGAGGACAATAAACATTTTGAAACGCCCTCGCCTTTAAGCTCTCTTCTACTTTTGGTAAGATGAATGCCTTGGCCTAGATATCTAAGTACTTAATAATGTTATAATAACTAAGATTAGGTTATAGGTAATATCTGAAATACTTACTCCATTCATAAATTGTCCTACAATACACAGGCCAAAAATTAATATACAATGCTTCATGACATTCGAAAGAAAGGAATGATTAAAAATAATGTAAGAAATGCTATAAAAATTTGTGTGATTCTTGATTGAAAAATCTTAATTAAAGTTTCCCTTTTATATTTTTGTAATCATCATGTATGAGCATTAGAATGAATGCTTTTGGAACTGCAACCAACTGTGTACACCTCTCATCAATTCATCAATAGCTAATGACAGTCAGCTGGACAGTGGACTATCGTGTTTTAGTAAAAAGGACTGCCTAGGTACCTACACAAAGTTAAGCGTGTTCTTAGGATAAATAGTCATTATAAAAATGGATATTTATTCAATGTTTATAATATTGAATAAATATCCTATAATTTTTATGTGTTTGTTACTGGAAATGTATGAAATTTATATAATTCCGAAACTAGGAACTTAACTTTAGGAACTTTTCGTTAAAAACGATTATACATCAATGCAGTGATTTATTTCAAAAAATAGACAATCTGTTTTAGTCTACAACAACGTAAATAAAAACTTACCCATGAAAGGTTATTCCAGGTATTTTCTTAGAGCTTCTGCTGACACATTGGTACGCACTGCACTTCACCTTTAGGTTTTTATACGTTTAATGGTATAAAAAATATAAATATTTTCTTATAAAACGAGATTGACACAGTTGTCGGTATAAACTTAGGGGTAGGCAGAGACTAGGGAACGACAATTACTACGATTCCTACAAACCTCTTTCGCTTCATCAACAGTCATCAATCTTTTCATGCATGCTCATCGGTTAAGGGTACTTTTAATTTGGCCCTTCTTTAATATATCACCAATCTGGTCACTATATGTCCGTCTAGGGCGCCCTCTACCGACGGCCCCATTCATATCCGCTCTGTATACTTCTTTCGTTACTCTTCTTTCATCCATCCTTTCTACATGTCCAAACCAGCGTAACATTCCCTTTTTCAATCCTTATCACTACATCATCTTTCAATCCACACCTTTCTCTAATAACACAATTTATCACTCGATTTTAGTCCACACATACTTCTCAGAGTTCTCATTTCCACTCCATTAATCCTGCTTTCATGCTTCTTCTGCCACACCCATGATTCACTACCAATAAGCGTTGGTGTCAATACACACTGCATTACAGCAAGTTTTCAAGTCTTTGCTGGATATTATTTTACTCGACATTACAGACTGTAAAGCACCATTAACAATATTTCCCGCTTTCACTCTCCTTTCAATATCCCCGTCACACTTTCCATCTCCCGTAAATAGTGATCCCAGATACAGAAATTCATTCACTTGTTCCAATTTTTCATCACCTAAAATTACCTGACATTCTGTTATCACCTCATTTCTTTCTATCACCAACACTTTCGTCTTGTTCACATTTACTTTCATACCTCACCTTTCAAATGCATCTTTCATAGCAGTGATCATTCGTTTTAGTTCTTCATTCCAATAAAATCCGAGTTCCCGCCATCTTAACTTTTAAACTTTTGGAACCACAGATTAGAATTCCCCGCTTCGCGATGACATTTCTTTTTTTGTCTATGCTTCTAACACTAGGAATTAATGTCTGGTCTGCATATCGTAAGTCTGTATGGTATAGACTTACTTAGAGATTAATTTAAACAAGTACTAACTATGTATCAAAAAGTTTTAGATAGAAATGATGTTGGTACTTAATCTTACTATGTTCTTGATAAATGAGAAAGTTAGAATTACACATCTTAGGCTGTTTTAGTAACTTTTATCGCACAGGAACGCGGGCAGGCGGTAGTAGTAAATACCTAATTACAATACCCACGTTCCTTGAATCCGGGATTGCGAGACGATCTTGGAACCTATCACGAGACGATCTCCGGTCACCGTAACCACGGGCCTGCGGACGGCGAGCACGGGTGGCTCGCTACCCCACCAGAACCACACCCCAGCGTACGGTACTCAAACAGCCATCTGAACAAGCCGTAGAGGACCGCGATGTGTAGGAGTAGAAACGGGGTGGTGCTTAGTCAGTAAGAACCTGACACGGATCCTGAAGGGAAGAAGTCATTGGATGATTTTTCGTGGTGTCTCGTCGTGTGGTATGAAAATGCGACTTTCGAGCAGGGATTGAAGTTAAAAGTATTATTGCGTTTTTGACAGCTTTTCAATAATTCCTCAAAAGGTACCTACTTATTATCAGGAAGTCTGGTTTTGTTTAAACCTGGTAAGAATATAGGTAACTATACTCGGAATTTTAATTCGATTCCAGATTTGACAATTTCAGTGTGGCAACGTTATGACAAGTACTAAATAGTGACGTTGCGAAATTATTCGATATGGAAATGCAATATTTCTGGATCGATTCTTCTCGTTTATAACAATTATAATTTTACTCTCGTGAACTAAGTATATCAGGAAATTAAATATTTCTGAACCGATAATTTTGTTTTGACGATTAATTAACGATCTGAGACGTTTCTTTTATAATTGTGTGTGAAATAAATAAAAAAATGTAATCATGAAGGAACATGACAAATAAAACAGATTGATGTATTATGGTAATACGTTATTTTATAAATTGTCGCCGTCATCGCTATCGCTATCCTGCCACTTTCTGTAACATTTATTATAAAACACACACACTCATTGTTTATCGATTTTTGTGTGCATCACTACACTATTATAAGTGGTATCATTATTTCACAAAATGACAGTAGCTATTGTCAAATCTGGAATCTAATTAAACTGTCAAACACCAAGCGGTCACCGGTGACCGCGACCTATTGTTCTTTAATTGTGTCTATAAAACCGGTACTCGACGAGTTAAAATTCTGACTATAGTTGTAAATACTTGTAGGTAGTAAGTACTTAGTAAGGTAACCTCAGCCCAATGAAATATGGCAGGTGGGACTTGGGACTTATAAAATAAAAGTGGAGTACATTATAATGTATTTTTAGGTAATCATATTTGTCAATATATCCCAGATTAATGTTATGCACTAATTCTCTCTCACTAACACTCTCCCTAACGGTAAAAAAATCGTATCATACGATTATCTTTCAAGTTTTCAATTTAAATGTTTAAGGTGGAGGGATTGAAAGGAAAAAAATGGAAACCTGTTAAGACTATTTCTATTCCCACGTTCATTTTCGATAATTAACGCAAAATCGAAACGTTTATCTACAAATGTTGCCAGGTCTCTAAACAGATGAAATGTGTAATTTTATTGTAATGTCATAAATTACGAGCCAACAAATGTATTACAATTATGTCCAATTTCACAATTTATCCATATTATCCTTTAGTATATCTATCTACATTCCGAAAAATAATAGAGTTTCATAATAAATAAATTATGGAAGTCAAGCGCTAAGATAGACAACGGTATTTTTTACAATTTTTAGAACGACAACACCATAAGTAGGTATTTATTTGACATTCTGCTAGTCAAGTCAGCTGAACAATGCATTTTATTTATTTATCGTAAAAACTAAATTCTAATCAGAATCTTGTTCCCGTTGTTGTTTATTCACTTCTTGATATTACAAATGTAAAATTCTTTATTCAAATTCACTTTGTGCGTGTTGTGTTGTGCGTGCTCTGTGGATTGGTACCATTGTTTTTTTTTCTCGCAAGAATTCGTTGAAAAATGTTTGGAAGGCCGAGATGTCGAGAGTGGACTCCACTTGCTACACAACAACTGCGTCTTCGAAGCTTGATTCAGGTAATAAAATCAACTTTTGAAAGTCGCAATACGTTTCTTTTTGTTACAAGTTTATAAACAGACGCCTACGCTCGTACGATTGTGACTTCATGGTAATATTTTTATTACTATCGATGACATTTATCTACTCTTACTTCTAGCTAAAATCACTCAAAAGTGTTTATTAAGCATTCTATGTAGCTCTTATTATTATACAACAGTTTTAATGAGCTAAATTAGTTTTTTAAATTGGTATTTCCTGCTTGTAACGACTTTGGTTTGTTTCGATAACTCGTACCTTTATAAAATAGGTCAGTTCTAGTTTAATTTTGGTATACTTTATCATTATCAATAATGTGCTCTATAAAAGTAGTTCTAATGAGCAACATGTATATTTTTTGGCATTTATTTATTACTTGTAACAACTCAATTTTTGTGTTGGTCTTATTTTTCAAAACAAACTCCTTTTTACAAGCCTATTTAGGTAAAGGTAGTAAAAATATTGTCACTGAATCATTTCTCATTTTTGATTTAGAAAGTCGGTCACATGCACACCTGTGGATCCTGTTTCCTAACAGGTGTTTCGAAAATTTGCTAATTAGGTACTAATATTAGAAATACCAGTTCTTATAATTACTAAACAGATTGAATAATAAAAAAAAAACATTTAAATCATAGACATAGAAATCAAATTAGAACATTTCAAACATTTTATGAGATTTTATCTCTTCCACAAACAACCCACTTTTATAAAGTCTAGTAATACTATTTGTGACTCCTCTAGTGTTGCGGATGCCCATTGTTGATGGCACTGATCGCTTACCATCTGCTTGTTTGCAGGCATATCCCATAAATAGAAAGTATAAATTACTTTATCAATTAAAAAAATCAAGAAAAAATATGTATTTTTTCTTCTCTTCTAGTTATATCTTCTGATATATTTCGTTGCGGGATTAAAACAGTTATTCATGCCCCATGGGTGCCCATAACTTCAGTGTTATGGTGTGTTTATGGTTGTATCTACTGTAGGTCCTGGCTTACATGTATTGCAGCAGCTTTAGGAAATTGTGGTGAGCTTGTGCAAACAAAAAAAACAAAACAACTACAACAATTGAAACTTTTGCAATCATATCCGCCATTTTATCTATGTGTAGTAAGAAGTGTCAATGAATGTGGTTCATTGTACAGGGTAGTTGCATACTCAATGGTTAAGCAATCTACATAGATAAGCTTGGATACTATTTTGCTGAATCGAAAGTTACATTCATTTAGGTACAGTATGACTGCCTTTTTGGTCGAGTGGTCGCAAGTGTGACTGCCGGGTAAGGGGTCTCTGCTTTGATTCCTGGGTGGGGCAAAGTATTACTGAGTCTTAAAAAATTCTCAGTAGTACCACGGAGTCTGGAATTGTGCCCGGTATATGGCAATAGGCTCACCCCCTATTACATGGGACTCTTAACATAAATAGTGAAAAATTGGGTGGTACATTGTACAGTGGCATTAAGTGCCGTAATGTGCACCTCTGCCTAACCCTTCAGGGATAAAAGGCGTGATGTTATGTTATTTTAATTGGAACAACAATTTATTGATTTTGTTTTTGTTAACAGTCTGTATATAATAGATCTAGTTATTAAATGAACATAATTATGCCTTACCTACTCTGACATTCCTGATCAATATACAGTTAAAAGCAAAACTTATGTGACTATTTTCAGAAAAAGCTATATTCCTATTGAATTTTAAAACGATCTTTTGAAATCACATTACAATATCTCCGCCACATCTCATGAACTAAAACAAACCTCAGTATTAATAATAGAGTTCAAATTTCATTATTTTATTATTTCAGATTGTAGGCTACAATATAAGGCCGCCTGAGTGGTGTACATCTCCATGCAGTTTCTATTTAACTCTGCATCACACCACAATGTCAGCACCATTCTATACAAGCGAGAGGATTTGCTCGCCACACCCTAAGTGGAAGGAAATCGACTCAGGTACTTATTCGAAATAGATTACTCATGTTATCAAGTTTATACTTTTTAATACTGAAATTTATGGTAACTATTATGAACTTTTAAGTTAATGTCAAATTACCACTTAACCATAACATTATAACTTTAAAACTTAATTAACCCTATGAGTACCGTCATTATAGACACAATTAAAGAACAATAGGTGTGCGGCCACCGGTGTCCTCGCGGTGTTTGACAGTTTAAAGAATACTAAGCCTACTCCTTTGAGCACAATCACATTGATATATTACTTTAATAATATAAAGCTGTTTGTTAAAACATGCTAATCTCCAGTACATACTACTGTTCTAATAGATTATTTATTACTTCTAATACTTTAACAGCCCGTTTTATGAATAAAAATGAAAGGTATAAGGAACATTTACAAACAAAATGTTTGACTCATATCTCAAATCAGACTGTGAATGATATAGCAATCGACCTTTAACTTAAACACCAAAACAATAATTAACACTATACAAAACGGATTTATAAACTGATTGTAATTACAATGACTCATAGTCTAGTTGTTATATGTGTCAGTCAATGCTTATCAAAGTTATCAAATACAATATGCCTATTAAACTAATTAATGTTTAGAATTCTGTTGACGTTTTTATCATTAACGTTGGTACTTATTATTTGTTTGGTTTTTATGGGATAAACCTGACTTGGTAAGCAATCATCGCCGCCCATAAACACCCAAAATACCAGAGGCGTTACAAGTACGTTGCTGGCTTTTTGGGAGATAAGTATTTGATGATCGTTGGGGATTCAGGGATTATAGGGAGTTGTAGGGGAGTCGAGGGTAATCGGGGCTTCAGAAAACTCACTTGCGCGATGAAACAATGCTTCGGTTGTGTCACATCGGTTTTCTATGAGGCCGTGTCATCACTTCGGTTGAGCCCATTTGTGCCGAAGCATGGTTTAGTTTCAATTTTGATACCGAATTTGGGAACAAAGCTATGGTTTGCTAATGGCCGAGATTTATCACCTATCCTCAACTCAAAAGTTGTTTATTGACATTAGGTCTATTGTATTTGTCTCAAAAATCTAGATCGGTCTAAACACTTTTAAGGTGTAGGAATCCGTTATTAACTTTGAAATTCTTTCTAGGATACACTATGTTAATAAACTTTGACCTACCATAACCAGAAATAATGATATATATATAGCTATCACTTTCTATAATGATAAAGATAAAATCACGCCCCTTTTCATCCCGATATTACGTAGCTGAAGATAAACAGTTTCGACTACTTTTATCACAAAAAAATATTACGGTTATCTGCTTACAGTTAAACAAAATAAAAACAATGTAATGAATACAACTTCTCGTAATGCTGGGAACGAACACTTATTTGGATAGGAACGTTAAACAGTAAAAGAAGTTTTAATAGATATAACAATACTTTTTACTTATATTTTGTAGAATTTTGCTCTACATAACATAAAAAATACTTTTCCTTACCACACTGTACCATAGATTTTATCTCCCTTCTCAGTACAATTCAGATAAAAGACACTATCATCGCTAAAACTGCTATACATCACAATGATACCATTCTTCATACCCGCGCTATCTATCAGCTCTTACAAATTATAATTGCATCATTATTCTGAATCATTACTGACTTATTACAGAATCAACGCAACGTATGTCGTCGACGAACGTCGTCATACGAATTTGGTGTCATATCATCCATACTAACGAAGAAAGTAATAAACTACCACAAGACACCGTCATTCAAACATGGGGGGTCTATTTCAGTGGTCTAAGATATATCGGGGCGAATCTAGCCTCGAATTTCACTTCAGACTGCTTCAAATGTAACACTTTAGTCCTACAAATGCATGGAGGATACTTCTGCTCATACAAAAGCCTAAAACTAGATGTGATACCACCAGAAAATGAAATAGAACACGGTTCATTATCTTCAGACTCCTCTGAAAGGACCAATCTTTCAAAAATCAATTTAGATGCTAAACATATATTGAGTAATAAGCTAGGAAAAGAATCGAGGTCCATTTCTCCTAATAAATTTTCTAAGAAGGCTGATAAAGAGTATTCTAAAAGTCACAGTCCAATAGAGAGGGGTTTTCATCAAAATTTTCCAACATTAAGAACATCAGCTAGCTTAAATATTGGGCAAAGTCAAAGAGACTATTACAGGCGAAGAGAAGAAGATTCGGAACAAGGCAAAGGCGATCCAAAGCTACCGAATCATATATACGAACATTCGCCTGACAATTTAGACGTTAAAGAGTATGCAAGCGTAAACTGTGATATTGCGTTTAAGAACGCGTCTAAAGAAGATTTATCTTGTAACATAGACTTAAGTGAAACAGCAGAGAACTACGACTTGAGAAACGAAGCCGATGGGGTTCCTAAGTATAGATATTTGGCTCTGAACTTTCTCAAGTCTGAAATAAGACCAAGTTACAACGCGACGAAGTTGCAGAAGCTACATTTGTTGCAATACTCTATCAAGAAGAGACAAGAGGCTGTTCAGGAGATCAAGGAGAGGATTTACAAGAAGTCTGCCTTAACGAACGATGATTGGCCGACTTTAGACGAATATTGTGACATCAGACTAAAGTTTAAGAGTAGATCTCAAAGGAATTTATTCTCTCCGGATGATAGTGATAGCTTAAGTAAGGATAAGTCTTCGTCACAAAGCGATCTGAGTGTGAAGAATGGAAAGATTAAGGAGGACCGGCCTGTCGTGTCCAATGGACCGAGGTTGACCCTAAAATTGAATGATCTCTTATCTTTTAAGGTTAGTATTTATCTATATTCTATACTTTTATATATAAAACTGAAGAGTTTATTTATTTGTCTGAACGTGCAAATCTGCGGAACTGCTGGTTCGACGTAAATAATTCTTGTTGTATTGGATAGTCCATTTGTAGAGGAAGGCTATATATGGGAACAGCACGCTGTGATTACCTAGTCCAATTGTTTATTGATTTTTCATGCAAACGTTCCACGCCAGTTCTCTGTGAATGCGACGTTTTTTTTTATTTATTAACACTTTAATGCACACAAAATAAGGTACATAAGGCGGACTTAACGCCATATGTCATTTTCTCCCAGTCAACCTTTGGGTTAAATGTAAGGTCAGCGAAAATGGGCTTGTGTAATATGCAAAATTCTTTTATTGGCGTACAATTCTATGTTGAAAATGCAAGTGAGAAGATTTGTTTATAAAAGCTTTGTCTTTGACTATTCCAGGCAAAACCTTCGCCCTTCCAGAGGGCAGAACATGTAAGGCTGACAAAACAACTGGAGATTCTACGATTCAAGCGGATCATACTATCAGATGAAAGAGATAGCAAGCTCACGAACATAAGGAAACTGAAAGAGAGGCATGCTAAACTGTTTGAAGAAAACCAGGATGTCGGTGAGTGTAAGGACAAAGTTTGTTAAAGGGTTTTTTGGCATCATTTTGGGACATGCGGTTTTCATTTTGTATTGTCTGCTGAGGGTTAACAGCCTCAAGAAATATGTATAGAAACATGTTTTCTTTAAATTTCGTTTTTATGGTAAAAGTGTTAGTTCTTTGGTCTTAAGGTCAAATTGTGTTAATAAATAAATAAATTATTATGTTTGTCGGCTTAATCACGTAATTATTTGACAAGTAGGGTCGCGGAATGCTGCTCATGAATATGAGCCTCTAGTATGGATTGAAACTAGTCGAGCTCCTCGTCAAATAATTACGTGTGTACGCCAAAAAACATAATAATTAATTTTTAGAAAATAATCTTTGTAAAAGATGCTCTCGACCAACGCCATACTACTAAAAAATAATTTATTGTTAGTTGTCAAGTAGTTCGATAGATGGCGTTGGTCTATAATAATTCAAGCTATGGTTTCGTTACCGGAAAAACATTAGGTTGCTTGGTTTGACGTAGGTAAATGTCTCGTTCTGAGGAATTTAGTTTCTCTCAAGCACAAAGGCTTGAAAGGACCTTGTGCCGATAATGTACAAGGTCTAACAAGAATATAGAGTATTCCTCTTTGTGCCGTTAGTTATTGAATAAAATACTAACATTCGTCCAAACTTGATTAAGATTAGGTTCATTACATAACATAACATCACGCCTTTTATCCCCGAAGGGGTAGGCAGAGGTGCACATTATACCACTGTATAAAGTAACACCCACTTTTCACTATTTATTTTATGAGTCCCATGTAATAGGGGGTGAGCCTATTGCCATATACCGGGCACAATTCCAGACTCCGTGCTACTACTGAGATTTTTTTTTAAACCCAGTAATACTTTGCCCGACCCGGGAATCGAACCCGAGACCCCTTGCCCGGCAGTCGCACTTGCGACCACTCGGCCAACGTGGCAGTCATTAGGTTCATTAGTAGAAATATTATACTGGTTTGTGTGTGTATAAAGTTCTAATTATCTACTTTCTATAGTTTCTTTCGTTTCATCGCTTTTCGAAAGGGACGTCTTGTTGTAAATATGGAATGCACGTTCTCAACTACTTTCGGCTATGGTATCAAAATTATTAACTTTAATCTTTATATGCTGGGTGTAAAGTTCAAAATTCCATTTTTCTTATGTTGTTTGTTTCATTTTTAGTTTAATAAACTGATTGATGTTAATTGATGTATCAGACTGCTTAGTACAGTACTTGGGCAACGGGCTACGGTGTAACGTGTCCCGGGTTCGATTCCTGCATTGATACTTCACAGAGTAATCCAAACATACCCATAGTTATTTTTACTCATAAATTAAATAGAAAATCTTGGTAATGCAAATGAAAACAATGACAGAAGCTTTTCTTTATACGACTGTCCAAAAAAGAGTGTAATATTTTAAAATATTTTAATACCTATTTATTTTTTAATGAGGAAACATCGCAATTCTCTACTTTCCTAAATTGAAATCCTAATATTATAAATCGGAAAGTGAGTTTGTTTGTTTGTTCCGCTTTCACGCCGTAACTACTAAGCCGATTACCGGCGCTGTGTGTATTGGTATATGTCATATAGGCTACTTTTTATCCTTTTGTGACGCGAGCGAAGCTGTGGATAAAAGCTAGTAGTTTTATAAACAAGATTCTATGCAGCTTAGCATTTATGGTCACGAAGACAAGACGCGTATACAAAAATTCAGCTCAATCAGTTGAAGATATCTGCTTAAAAATTCAATTCTATTACACACGCACATACATACATAGCAATTTAAAAAAAAGCTTGTAAAATACGTTTTACAGGGACAGAACTGATGCAGAACTACCACTCTCTATCTCGTCGGAATGAGAGTGTGAAAGAGACTCGCCAGGCTTGTGGAGCCATACGTGAGCTGGCCGCGTCCTCCCACCATGCGTTATGTACGCAAAGAACTGAACTTCTTCGACAGTTACATCAAATATTTTATATTGAACAGGTAAGAAATTTATACCTACGTTAGTCATAATTCAAAATACTATTCTCGTGGCAGCTCGACTAGTTTCGAGCAATATCGGGACTCATATTTATAGTTAAGCTGTATTTAGAATCAAAATAACGACTAGCTGTCCCGCTGGATGACTTAGCGCAATGGCTGGGCAAACTGTTGCTGATAAATGTGTCACAGGATCCCGGGACGAAATAATTTTTTTGTTTGATGTTTTGTATGGATGCTTTAATAGTTTCGTGCCGAAGTATTGTTATCTTACCTTAATATTATTATCATCAACAGAAAGACCAAACAACGTGGACTATATGCGGGGTTCCCTTACCAGTGTGTGGTGATGAGAGTCCTCGAGGAACTCCCCTCAGTGACTCAGTGGCCGCTGGGTTTGTAGCCCAGGCCACTTGTTTGGCGGCCTCACTGTTAAACCAGCCACTGAGGTACAAAATCACGCTGTTGGGATCAGCCAGCAAGATATTGGATGTCACTCCTGATTTACCTGATCCGAAGTAAGTTTGGTTTAGTCTTTATATATATAATTCTGCTGTACGTGTGTATGTCATTGAACTCCTCCTAAACGGCTTGACCGATTTAAATGAATTTTTCTGTACGCATTTGTGTGGCGCCCTGGATGGTTTAGATTCACTAATTAGCCCGGCAGATGGCCTGCAGCTGACAGACTGTTTAGGTTATTTATCCTAAACTGCTTAACTAATTTGAATGAATTTTTGTTTATACATTCAAGTGAATATGTAAGACGTCTGTCGGGTCTGCTAGTGTATTATATATTTCTTTTCGAACCGTCTGTAATTAATTATTATAATTTTTTCGGCTTACTCACGTAATTATTTGACGAGGAACTTGACTAGTTTCAAGCCATTCTAAACGCTCATATTCATGAGCGGTAGCAGTACGTAAGTAAGCAAAAAAACATAATAATTAAATTAGTATATCTCACACTGTAATGTAAACCCTCTATGTAACAAAATGGTCTCATTTTAAAGGTAACTAAATTGCCTTTACGACATACGATACCAATTAATAAAATACATTGCCATATACCTCAATTCCAGACTCCGAAAAATCCAATAATACTTTGCCCGCACTTGCAACCACTCTGCTAACGAGTCAGTCATTATGCTTACTAATATTATAAATCGGAGTGAGTTTGTTTGTTTGTTTGTTCCGCTTTCACGCCATAACTACTAAACAGATTGCTTTGAATTTTTGCAGACGTAAAGTTAGAAGTCTGGATTAAATAATAGGGTACTTTTTATCCCGGAAAAAATTGATATTCCCGAGGGAAAACAAAAGTATTGGTATAGATTGCTGGATGGAAAAGGATTGGTATATCTTTATAAACAAAATGTTACATTAAAATTTCTTTTCTTAATTCTAGCATAGCACTATTCCCCCGTGGCGGAGACACGACACTATTTCGCTACGGTTTGTTCCTCCTCAATAAATGCATAGGACAACTTATAGTTGGTCGAGGACTACCCTTATCAGACATACGGCCTACTCTCTCCAATCTACAGCGATTACTTACTACTCCTGCTAGCATGTAAGTAGATTTTGTTGTTATTTTTTTAAAACTTCAGAGGTCGACCACATCATCGCTTACCATCTTGCGGTGGTAAGCGATGATGTGGCCGATGATGGAACACGCCTACCTATGAGCAACCTGTTCACTCGAGAAGATACCCAAGTCAAATATTTCGGGAAACACAAATCCCGGCAAGGAATTCCATTCCTTTGCGGTTCTATTTTCTAGTATTTTTTGGTGTTAAAAGCTATTTATGAAACGTATTTTAAAGCACTCTTAATTAAAGTACACTTGACTACACATTAAGATGGCCAAAACCAGTGTACACTGGTCGTTGAATGTGCCAAAAGATCATACGAAGCAGGTCCATGATAACTGGTTTTTTACAGCTCGTTGTGCTGTCGTGTGTACTAACAATATGATTAGAAACATAAATATGATGTTAATATGGCTTCAAAATACGCTATCCTTTATTTTATTACTGTCAAAGAAGATGTAACCGAGGCTTAGTATGAATTTGTTTTACATTATTACGTGCCAAGCACGAATAACTATCGCTTACTACATTCAGTTAGTTATTACATTTACTCATCTTAACCGTTTGACGAGGCAACTCAACTAGTTTCGAGCTATAGCGGGACTCATAAAACAAAAGTGTAAGTGAGCTGTATATTTTATAGTAATTTCTGATAACAAAAATACTTACGGATAATTTATAGAATTAAAGAAAAATCAGCCCTATAATTCAATAGGAGTTTTGCAAAATATTGGTTGATTTACTGGATCCAGCCAATCAGAGCGCCGAACGCGCTCGATACTATTACATTACGAATGCGATAGTCATTCGTGCTTAACACTCAGAGCGCCGAACGCGGTCTGGTTTCGATAACTTTAAACGTAAAATAAACTCATGATAAGCCCTCGAAACAAAATTACTGAATGTTTTAACTCGTCGAGTACCGGTTTTATAGACACAATTAAAGAACAATAGGTCGCGGTCACCGGTGACCGCTTGGTGTTTGACAGTTTAATGCGACGAGCTGTATAGATCGACCTTAGTGTCGTACTATAAAGTTTAACTAGTGTCTATATCACACATATGTTATGTTGTAATTGTATTGCTAAATTGAATAACATTCCAATGATAAACCATCAATCAAAAGTAATCTTTATATATTTGTCTTAAAAACTATTTTTGTTTCAATAGTAAATATGTATAAGTCTGCTAGTTTCTAATCTCTTCCTATTAATTTCACACTTGCGTAGTTTTTTGCTACATTAAAATGCACCTTGTATTGTAGGTCGGACACCACAAAGTTGTATGGCCCGTACAGATGGCTGGTGGATAGCCAATGCCCCCGTACTCAATCTCTAAGGAGTCTTGTTGCTACTGAGAGGTGTAAATATAGACAGTTTAATAGGTTTAAGGTATGTATTATCTATTTTGTATAATAACTAACGTAGGACGTGCTAAATTAATTATTACATTTACTCAACCGTTTGACGAGGCAGTTCAACTAATTTCGAGCTATACTGGGATTCATAAAACAAAATTGTGAGTGAACCGTATATTTTATAGTAATTTCTAATACAGAAATACTTACGGATAATTTATAAAATTAACTGTTTAATCCCCAAGCAATCAACTATGACCACTCTCCACTTATTCCAATTTAAACCTCATTCCCGATGTTTACAGACCATTTTTGTATGAACAAATTTTGGGTATGATATATTTACGTATTAAAGAAAAATCGGCCCTAAAATTCAATAGGAGTATTGGAAAATATTGCCAAGCACTGGGTAAAATTTCAGACTAACTGATGAAAATTTCGAAATTTGAAAGTCATGATAATACTTCACCAGACAGTATCTGTCATTGATAAAATAGACAAAAGTGTTCTGATGACCACATAAAGTGATGCCAAAATATTTAAAAAATATACAAAAGCCTTTGACTGTTGAAGGCAAAAAACTGCTGAAGGCAAATACTCCACTAACGTAGGTCACCGGTGATCTACGCGGCTGTTAACGTGTTAACAAAATATTACATAATTATGTCTAAAGCATTAATTATTTTGCTCACAGGACGCCGTAGACGGCCAGTCTCCACAATCGGCGATGAACAAGAGACACAGGCATTCACGCAGCGTGGGCAGTTATCAGGATGATCAGGTAATATTATTACTTATCAGCCTCATTGTGAAACCAATTACATCGTCGAAGATCCTCAAATCTGTCTCGGTCTGTCTAATTATTATATCGGATCTCGGTGCGATGTCAATAGAAAAAATATCGTTTTTAAGCGCACCCATGACAGAGGAAATACCCTCAAGTGGCCTTTGTTTAAAATATAAATAAAAATTCAACAACAAACCAAATAACATTATCAAAATCTGTTCATTGATTCCCGAGTTATAACTTAGAAAAACTTCAGTAATACATCATTTTCGACCTCCAATTCCTTTATGTTTCCCGTGTGTATTTTATGTGGCTTTATTTTTCCCTCAATGTAAGTTCTTATTATTTTATTTCAAGTAGATAGTAATTTTTTCTTCCAAATTATCTTTATCCCAAAATTTACGCAAAATTTGATATTATTCCAAGGCAATAAGGTATAGAATGCCAAAGTAAATAAAATTATCTTATCAACAGGAGCTGCCGACATTAGAGGACTCAACAACATCAATAATGGGAAGCGAACCAAACATATACAACATGAAACTAAAACAAGACGACAACATAGACACACAAGGTCTAAAATCCCATAACTCAGATTCCGAAATACTGAGATTTAACACCGAACAAAGCCAATCAAAGGTCCTATTTACATTAGGTGGTGAATCAACAATCGACCTTAATGGTAAACTAGTTCGAATGTCGACTAATAACCAGGATGAAATGGATGAGAGTGTGAAGAAAATTTGTTCAGAAATCAGTGATTTTTGTTCAACTGAAAGAGTTCATGAAGGATTAGATATCGCTAAACACTTGAGTGATGATACTATAAATATAGCTGAATATTTGGAGGCTAAAGGAACTGTGGATGATTGCGATCCAACTTGCGCTGAAGTTATCGTAATACCTAGCGCGGAAGCCATCTTGGATACGGGACAAGAGGTTAGAGAAATTGAGGAAGATGAAAAATAAATAGAAAAGCTGTTGATTGAAATTGAACCTTATGAACTATGGGTCGTACTAAGTAAATATTTGCGTGTTGCAAGTTAATACACTGCCAATTTTAAGACATAATATTGCATGTTAATCGTGAAAAGGGTGTTTGTTCTAACAGTTACCGAGTTTTGCCAGCTATATAAATAGTATTGTATTAGGGCTATACAAAAGCCTCACCCATATATGTGATTCGCATATATCCAAGATCGTCTTGTGGTTATTATGATGGTGAGGAATCGGGTTTTAAATCGTATGATGTAACTCATGTAACTAAACTACAGAAAATGCTAATATAATACTTTGCCCAATTTTGTTGTCTAAACTCAACGCATTAAGGTCAATAGTCTAATGAAGCATAAAAATATGGAAAATCCAAATTAAGAAAGGTTACAATTTCAACCAATGGCTGCCTTGTAAATAATTAGTTTTTGTATGATCGTTGTAATGAAAATTATTTATATAAACTTCATATTATACTTAATCCCTTGTATTGTTAACGGATGAAATAATATAAATATTAAATTAAATGAATACATAAATTATTGTGTGATTCTTGTTTCATGTTTATTTGTTAATCTCAGATTGTTTTGTTGAAATAGGGATGGGATGGAGAGTTATCGATAGTTGAGGTTTAAGGGCATCACTAGAAGATAAATAAGGTTATACTTGTGTACCTAAAAGTATTCCTATGGCTACAGTGATCCTTAAAAATACACAGAGAGACACAACTTCTACACCTTCAGTGAAACAATATATTTTTCTTGTAACTCGTATATCGAGTATGTGATTTCGTTTGCAACATTCATTCTTTTAATCCCTGTTGGAACACAAAGAAATGTGATTCACTTAAAATGTAATGAAGTCGCCTCATTAGTCATATTGTGCCGACTCTAAATAACTCAGTTAAGGGACAATAACATGAATAAAATGTAAGTTCTTTTTCGAATGATGTTATAGACGGCAAAAGAGGATCTTTCATATCTCAAAAGAGGATCTTTTGGCGTCTTCTTAGTAACTGTAACTTCTTAGTTATTCTTAGCAACAGCTTCTCTGTTTAATTTAAGAATTTAAATCGATTATCGATATGCTCACTATAAAAGTTCATCGAAAAACGTATCGATCTTGACCGTTGGGCTACATGGAGCATTTCATAGTTTAAAGAAAATCCATTAAAACTAAATAATTAGAAAATAAAACCGTACTAGTTGAGCCTTTTATCATGCTACGGGCACAAATTTAGACTGACCAAATAAGGAATTTGAGTAAGGAACTTAATTTTTAGCTCAACTCTAATGTCAAACCCAAAACATGATGCTCAGTAATGCCATTTAGACTGGAATCAGTCAAATCTAGATAAAATTATAATCTAGACTAATCAGCATCGAATGTACTAAAATGGTTGTCTCTAAGTCGCCAAGTTTACTCTTAATTTTATCGATACATTGTTTTTATCGATAAATATTTCAATCGATATACGTCGATGTACATCACTAATGTTAAATGTTTGTATTTAACAAATAGTTTGGTAGGTACACCGTGCCTAAATAACGATAAAATAAAATTGTAAGAAATACCTATTTGTTTGTAATTTGTAAATAATATTATTATGTATGGAATACCTACTTGTACTTGCGTCTTTCATAATCGGCTGTTGTTATAATTAAATATTTATTTCATATCTCAATTTTGTTTTATTTACTACGTAAAAAAATTACCATTTTTTATACTAGATGTTAGTATTGACAGATATAAACCGTCACGATTTGAAACACCGCTTGCGTTGTGTTTCGTCGTATAAGTTAAGTGAGTTTACCGGCCCAATAACTTACTTAATTCGGTTTATTTAATTACTGTTAACAGTGTTAACTTATACGACAAAATAAAAACAATATTTAATATTTTTACATTACATAACGGACTGGCTAATAGAATTTTAGTTTCCATGTCGTCATCATCATTACTACTGCATGACGGCTGAGTATAGCCGCGTATCGTATTGTAAAACAAAAATAGCTTAAAGAATAAAATATTGTCGTAGGTATCTTCTTATTTCAATCACGATACTCAAAATTACAATTAAAAAGGGTCTTCAATTACCACCTATACTCCTTTCAATGTCGCGGAGAACCTAACGGGTTACCAGGGCTCCGGGTCGACGTGCAGGAGGAGGAACGGAGTGGTTTTGAGTCAGTAAGAGTCTGACACTCCCTCCCGCCTCACCCAGGCGTCAGCAGTCATTCGATGAATGTCTCCCCTTAAAAAAAAATACTCCTTTCAATAAATAAATTTCATGTGCTTAAATATGAACTCTGTTACTATTAATATTAAAAGCTACTATAGAAAATCCGTGTATTAGCGTAGTGATTTGTTTAGACTATTTTTCATGTCGACCTCTTCACGTGGCGTACACGTGCTTCTAAATCTTGTAGTTAGATTAATTAATTAAGATGTAGACTAATAATTGGTTAACCAATGTTCATTTATTTAGTTAGGTACTGCCATCCTTAGGCTATAAGCAAGCCAAAAGACTTTAATTTTAAATTAAAGGTAAGTCATAAACTCCCGGGTTCGATCAAGTGTTTCTCAGTCAAAATAAAGACAACTACCCATTATTAATTGAGCTCCGGCTAGGTAGAAAACTACTTGACTTATAATTGGAGAAGTCGGGAAAGAGAGCTCTAACAAAACTGGCCAGTATATAGCCCAGCGAAAATATAAATAGCGCGGCACCGGCACGCATGCGCGTTCCCGAACTGTTCTAAATTCAAATAGTCCGGCGCTCACGCAGCCCGGACGTTTGAGAATCGGATTTTTTAAATCCAAATTTCGAAATTCCAATCCCGACTCCGACTGGAAAGGCCACGTGATTGGTTTGATTTTGTAAAAGGGACGTGTGTTAATGAAATTAGCATCTCTAGTGTTGTGAACGGTGAAAAATGTGTGAACAGTGCGTGCAGCGTTGATTCCAGAAAAAAGGATTTAATTGTGCGTTTTTGGCGCATGTGGTGAGTAGTTTTTCATATACCTTTATTTATTTTCTTTCTATTTTGTGTTAAAAATCGTTATTACTTTGAAAATGATTGATTTTTAACCCTAAATTAGGTTAAAATTCTAGATAATAGTCGTTACATAACTATAAATAAATCGTTGCCCTGGCAATTAATATTATTCGGCAATTTGGCTGAGCGCCGGGGTTGAATTTCATTAATCTTAGGTCATACTGTTATTTATTTCATTGATAGCCTTAGACAAACGATTCAACTATGAATCGTCGTCAGTAGGTACATACATCAGGAACCTATATTTATTTAATCAAACATATTTAGATCTAGATAAGGAACTACACTTGGGGACAAAAAAGAACTAACCTTATTTTGTTAATTTATCAAACCCTGTATATAACTTTAAAAAAATATTCCTTTTACTACAAAATGTAACGCATTTTAAAGGTAACTATTGCCTTTCATACGACATACATTACCAATTAATAAAATACTTGTATCACAAAATATTTATCAAGAATTTAAAGAGAAGACAAGTCTGTAATACCAACTAATTTATCTCTAGAGATCAATCGACAGAGAAGGTAATATCGCAACACATGATTACTTTTTCTGCGTTTCATTTGTTCATTGATAAGATACCTTTTTTTTTTTTTCCTTTCGCGATGGAAATCCTCATGGACTTCCCGCGGCGTGGGGACGACGAGGGGGCGTGCCGGACTCTTACCGGCTAAAACCACCGCGGTGTTCCTTCACTGCCTGTGACCGTGACCCGGGTTGCCCTTACGGAATCACCACATCCGGCAGGCTTCAATCTACCGCTATGTTTGCGGCAGGTCCCGCCACTTTAGCGGCCCTAGGAGGCTGCTTCTCTTCTTCGAGTAGCGCGCGTGGAACACTACGCTACCGCCTACTCCCGCCTATATAGCGGACGTCTGACTCCCCCGGTCAGTCGCCCGCAGGCCTCTCCTCTCATGGAGGTCGCAGATCGGCTGCCGCTTCACGGCGCTGACGACCGGCGCGTCTACGGCGAGAGGGGAGAGAACTTGACGCCTCTCTCTCCCTTTCAGCCGCTTCCTTTTCATTGATAAGATACCTACTTGATACTTATACTAGGTATAGTGTACCTACTTATGGTAACATTTATATTATAACTTTCATGACACATACTAAGTTAATTATTTGACGAGGCAGACGAGATGCTCATGAGCAGTGTAGTAGCGCGCTAGACCCCGCGTCGTGTGTCGCGAAATGCTGCTCATAAATATGAGGCACTAGTATGGCTTGAAATGTCGAGTTCCTCGTCAAATAATTATGTGAGTAAGCAGGAAAACATAATAATTTACTTTTGGTAAATTCAAATATGGTTTTATGTTTACTACAAATGCCTATATAAAAATTCGTGCTAAATCTCTTGAAACAACATTTAAATTATGCTAAAATAACTTCTACTACCTACACATAACGTTCACGTAAGAGTGCATTTTATGAGTATACAAACTGGTTATAAGTTCACGCAAAATTAAACCTTATAAACCTACGTTTTCCTACAACTACGAATGCATTTTGCCTTTTACTGCTCTTGCCCCAACTACTGGTCCATTTTACGATCGAATGCGGTATGAATTAAGATATATATTCATGGTAAGCGAGATACTAATTCAAAGATCATTTGCGAACTAAAGTTCAGCCAACTCTCGATATTTTTAAAGCTGTTTCCAATGCGGGTTCGTAACTAAATACATTAGTAATTATTTATTTTAATTCTAAGAACACGTTTCTTTGAAATTCATCTATTTGAATACTGATCGAAGATATTTTATTATTCCTCTTTCGTCGGCTATTTCCATAATCATCAACGACTTGTAATCATCCCAATGCTGGGCAATGACATCTTCTCACTTAAAAAAAGAATAGGCATTAAGCCAAGGATACTGGGATGCCGTCTCCTCCTTTTGCGAAGCAGTTATGTTA